TCATTCCCTATTCAGACATGACTGGAATTGGAATTTAATTATCAACTACAGCGCAGTGAAGCTGGTACAGAGCTCGGGACAGAGAGAGCATTTAGAGGACAGCTGACTGCTCGGGCGGCAGCTATAGGGACTGGACACCGCATTCTATTAGCTATCCGATAGTTAATAAAGCCTGTGTTCCAATGGACATTTCGCCACACCCCTCTGCACTTCTGGCTTTCTAAAGTCGTTTGTTGGGAGTGACCAATAGGATTCAAGGTGGAGGGGAGGGGCGGGGAAAAAGAGAGCTTTCGGGCTAAAACCATACTCTCCCCTCAAAAAAACAAAACAAAAAAAAAAACATTTCTTCTGTTCATTATTCCTAGAATTGGTGTCATGAGTTTTTTTTTTGTTATATAAATTAGGCTATTATTCACCAACAAATTATTTATTAGCTATTTTATTACTACCATTACTAGGGCCATTTTCAAGTCTTATTGAGTCCTCCATTAGATATTCATTATTAATGTCGTATTAATTTGTTCAGAGAAAAATGAAATTGTCCTGATATTTAAGAGTTTCCTCTACGTCATTTCTGGAGGGACTATTATAAAACAGCTAGTAAATAAAATGTTGGTGAACAATGGCCTAATTTATATAACAAATAAAAAAAAGATTTTTTTTATCCCTATAAGTCTTATTTTATTGTTCCTGTAATGACAGCTATTAAAAAAACAAAAAAGAAAAAAAAACAGGGCCTCCCTTCAAAGTTAAATGCTGTAACTATTCTATTCCATAATTACTTTACAGTATTTAAAAAGTAGAAGTTATTTATTTGATATTGAGTTCATCAGTAGGAATGTAAATCCTTTATTTATAGTATAGTTTTATAAAATATTTCAAATATCGAATTTATTATATCTTTAAACGATATATAATTATGTTATAATTATAGTTCCTAAAAATAAATCATAAAAAAAAAAAAAAAATCCTTTGCGCTTTTCCAACTTGTTCCAGAAGTGAAACAATGGCAGGTTGAGGTTATACAAACAAAAACAAACATTTTTCTTAATAGTTTCATTAGAACAATGTTTTTAAAAATAATATTGATAACAAAATTATCATTATATTATAGTAAAACATTATAATTGTTTGAAAATAATAGAAAATGCGTATGGAAGATACGGAATAAAAAAAAATATTGTTATGCTAATGTACGATATACGATCCGTGATATTGGTGAAAATAATCAATATTAATGCGTTTTTGCCATTCTTTGGATTGATATTTTGTATCGGTGCCACAATGAAGACACCTTACTTGGGAAACCGAAATGATATAATATCCACCTGCCTTTCGCCATTTAAGAGGAATGGAAGTCTTCGGCCCCGTCGCGGTAAAGCCCTCATTACCTAATTATTGTAAAATGTGGGGAAGAAACGCGATACAGTCTAGATAAGAACACAGTAATGACTAAGAAAACTAACACCAAAGGATGTTTGGAGTAGTATTTTCAATGATATGTGTTCTTAGAAACTAAACAAAAATTACGCAGTTTTCTCTATCTGTAAGGAATTATAAAAAAAATCGAAATTCTTAGAATAGCAATTAGTAGTTCTATGAATTTTCGTGTTCAGTTTTTTACTACGAAAACAAGGTAGGAAACAATTAATAGAACGAACAATTCTATAGCGTGAGCCTGCCATTGTTCCATATGTGGAACATTAAAATTATAATAAGTAAAACTGATTCTTAGATTTTTTTTTTATTTACATCTTCTACAATGTATTATTTTCAGTAATCTATCAAAACCAATATTCAAATTAAATTTTGATTGCTGTAGTCTTAGCACAAACATATATGATCAATACACCTCTCCATACTAAAAAATCAGAAAATTTAACTTTTTATTTACCGAACTAAAAGTGATAAAATCTTTATTGAAAAAACAAATAATTTAAACCTTTATTTTGATGGGAAAAATTGTTTTTGCAAACGAATAATGAATAAATTGGCCAAAAAAATTGATTAATATATGTTCCACTTCTGGAACAATACCATGCAAAAGGTTAATGGCCTTCCATGCGTATATTTGACACTTTTAGATCTTTTAATTTTCGATCAGACGTGAAAAAAACGAACCTATCTTGTTCATTTATATGAAAATATTTTCTTTTCTTTTTTTCTTTCTGAAAACATTTTGTGATTCCCCAGAAATCATCCTTGGATTGCATAATATAAGGCTAATAAAAAAGATATTGGATGGGTATTCATTTTTCTATAGGCGTAACTAGAATATAATTTGACTCATCGTTTAATTTTTGAACACAGACAGTTAATGCATTCACTTAGCAAGTAATTCTTGTATATTTAAGGGAAAGAAAATTTCTCTAGCAGCTTCAATGGTACAGAGTTTAATAAAAATATGAAGCAAATGAAGATTTGTGCTTTGAAGTTTTTTGTGAGGTTGAAGTTGGGTTCATCCAGCCTCTTGAGAATAGCTAAGCCATCGCAAAATAAAGAAAAAGCAAAAGAAAGGAACTCCGACACTACTTATACTACACTCATATACTTTTAATATTGTTCTTATCATATTAACCACGATTAATATAATACCGAAACATAAAATTGATATTGCTAGCATTAACTAAATAACATCTACAATACATTAGAGTCTTTACTTTACCAATTGTTTACATGCATAACTCAAACGTAGTTTTATTTGCAGGATAGATCTAGGTATAAACAACCTGAACTCAACTATTGGAAATTACTAAGGAATGGAGCTCAAGGTTAATGGAACTGTAAACGTTTAATGCCTTCTTCTCAGAACTGATAACGACAAATTGCTACAATATTTACAGAGCTTTTCTCTTCGTATAAAATCCGTTTTATAACTCCAGCAATTAGAGTTTTAAAAATATCACCAAGCCATTAAATAATAGACTGACACATTATTTATGTAACGAATCCAATAAAACATCCGACAACTTGAAAACTATTCTAATGATGTTTCATGTTAATCGTAACTTGTATACATATTTTTTATACGTTCGTTTATGTCTAGTAAAAAATAATGATAATTACTCAAAAGTCACAGTTTTCTTCAGTAACATTAAATAAAATAAATTAATTATAGTGAACTATAAATTCACCAAAAATGCTCTGAAATAATTAATAATTCTAATGAAAACGTAAATATGATCCGTAAGTTAAGGAAATATTAAAATAGTTGATAATAGAACATGACAGCTATAAAAAAGTTTACGTAAACCATGGTCCAATTTTTCAAAGAAAAGAACGGAATTCAAGTACTGTGTTTTTTTTAAGTGTTACATTTTTTGTTGAATAGAAATCGATAGCTAAAAAAATATTTGGTTTAGGTAATTAGCAATTCTTCACAGTAAACTAGGCAAAATTTACTTCAAATGAAAGTACAGTTTTTTTTTTTTAATTTTAAGCGCCTAAACAAGGTTTTTTTTTTCTTTATACATAAAATCATGGGTTATGTTCAATTTTTTTTTATAGACCTCTAACTAGGAATACAGAAACCCCAATTTCAGAAAAACTTCCTTGTTTAATTGGTTTCAAGTCAATATTAATTAAGAGGAAGTTTGTTAAGGAATATGTTGAAATTCACCTTTAGTTATGTTAAAAAAAATTGATTAAACATCATGTTGCAATTGCAATAAATTATTAAAAACATTAATTTGCTTTTCTTTTCTGTAGACTAGGGATTATAGTGATATTAAAAAAATACTTTTTATTATTAAAAAAAATACTTCTTAATTATTTTAAAAAAATACTTCTTTTTAGAAAATATTTCGTATAAAATGTAATGCACCACTTTTTTTTTTACACAGATCTTTATTAAGGAAATCGATCCTCATCGTATTAGGTGATCAACAAAATGCCTGCATCCCAAAGAAGGTATTAACTATTTTCTCTTCTTTACTCTCCATTTCTATCTATAGAAAAATGCGTTTATTTAGAAGATTCTGAGATTTATTGAAAACTCCAAATAAAAAGATGAATGCCAATTATTATTTAATGCGAAATTCGAATTTCCTTAGTGGTAGTACAAGCAACTTAATTGTTTAAGCAATTTAAGGAAATGTTTAAGACTGGAAATATATAAATTATATAATATAATTGTTTTTAGTATAATAAATTTATATATATATTTATAAAGTGGTAGATTCAAACTGAGTAAAATTAGAATAAATAAAACACATTTACACCTATGTATAAAAATTTCCATTCGCCCAGTAGAAGCTAAGGCAAGTTTTGCACCCCAAATATGGAAGACAAAGCAGAACTCTAGGAGATCCCAGTGTTTCTCTTCCGAAGTTCCGAATTATATATATTAATTATCTTTACCTTATTTCCTTTTTTATTTTCTTTATTTTAATTAATTTTCATTTCATATGTATATATTGTATGAATGAATACATAATGTCCTTAGATGTGGCTAATTGTGTTAATATTCAATAAACTCGTTTTAAAAAAAATTGTAATAACTAAAAGCTTTGTATCTCACAAAAATAGCGCAATCTAACTTACGCCATATGTTTCAAATCGTGACATACAGCTTCTGTGATATCTGATTATGTTTATTTTCACTTATGTAAATATTTTTCATACTCATATACAATTTTTTTGGAATATTCAGATCGTAACCAATATTGATGTTTAGCTGAGTCATATTGGTGTAGACAGCTGATTTGGTACACGTACTTTAAAAGTTTCTTCGTTTAAATTATTATGAAAGTGTAGTTATCATTTGCCTTTCCAATAATAATAATAATTCATTATAGATAATATTAAATTATATGGATAAGATTAGTTTTTAACAAAAAAATTACAAATGATAATTAATTATGTTATAACTAAAGGTACATACATGTATATGCATATGCCACTAAATTGTTCATGGGGGGACTGCATGCCCCAGGATAAAATTTACTTTTCTTCTTCTTAATAATAATAATTATTAATATTAATATAATAACTAAACTGACCTGGAAGTTAAACCTGCCAGGACTGGGAGGGTCTCGGTCGAGGTTCTTATCGCTGGCGACGACCAGGTATCCTTCGTTGTCCACGTCGAACAAGTGGTTCGTCAGTTCGAACGTATAGGAAGGTTTCGGGTCATCAGGGCCCTATGGAGTTAAGAAAATAAAATAATTATCATTATATCCCTCATTATGATATTTTATTTTGTTGTCATTTCGCTGTATATTATTTATTTATTTATGATTCTGGAAATATGGTGTGAATTCGCTCTCTGAACTCTGTTATAAATGTCCTTAATTAAGACAGCAGGTTTTAGAAATGAACGGCCAAAACGAAGAATTATCAGTAATGCACTTTTTCAAGTCCAATCTTTTTCGTAAAGTTACACTAAAGACATATTTTTATAGCATTTGGTGTTCAGTTTGCTAGGAACAGCAATATTTCCATTCGCTGTTTTATTGAAAACAAATTTTTATTATAGAAGAGGAACTAGCATCGAACACAACTTTGGGAAACGCCTTACGGCTTATTGGTCGTATAAATTTTGAAATTTTTTATGCAGCTCGAATTTTTCAAATTCATTGAAAAGTGTTCTCATGTAAATCTAATACACTTTGGAAATAAAATACACTTACAATATCAGCATCAGAGACACTCAGTTTTATCGGTTTGCCTTCCTTGTCCAAGACTTTGGTACCGACTGGAGAATTCTCCTGGACAAAGCCTTCCCTGTAGGACGCCGTTAGAACTGGAGGACTCGCGTCTTTCGGCTTCACGTTCACGACCAACTTGGCTGTTGCTGACCGGCGACCTTCAGAGGCCTCTTCTGCCTGAAACCAAAACAATAATATGTTAGAACTTTCTGTTTTTTATCAACTCAACCGTAGAGTACTGTTGAGAAAATTTGCAGAATAAAATAATGAAATAGACCAACTGGGTGAATACAACAAGCGTTAGTAAAATAACAAGCAGTTATGATATAATTAAATAAAGCATTGGATTAATTTAAAAATATTTTACCAAAGTATGTCCTTCCCCTATCTGTATCTTTTGTAAATTAATTCCTTTACAGGAAAAAAAGACTTCAAAATATTTTTATGGCACACATATAAACGAATAAGATAAATAAATAAATAAAATCTCTCTGAGACGGGCTACATTTTAGTCCATTATCTTATCCGAAATATGGTTATATATTAACATTATATTTAGCAAGAAATGTTGGTTTCTTCCTTAAGCCTCAAAAAAAAAAAAAAAAAATACATATATATATGGTAATAGGTTAGAGGGAATGTCAGGTCAGCGGTTCAGGTTGAGAACCGGACATACCAAACTGCCGGCTACTCGATATTAAATCTAGGGTAATATGAGGCCATATTTTAGCTAAAAAGTTCTTTCGTACAAAAGCCAACGTGACAGTGTTTTTTTTTTTTTAATTTGTTTCTTTTGTAAATGCTTTTTTTTTTTTTTTTTTCAAATTTTTATGTTAGTTCCAGTATTTCCGTCTCTCCCATGCTACCCCCCAGGTAACGTTTTAGATTCCAAAAAAATCAATTTATCCTTTAAACTGTATTGTATTAAGAAATATTTGAATTGTATTTCATCCAATATGTCTCTAATTCAGTTGCTTTATTAATAAGCTAAAATTAATTATTCTCTTAATATGCTTTTTTTATAATTAAAACAAGGACCCGGTAAAAGTATTGAAGCGAATATCGTTTCATCCTCTCCAATAATTTGTAGTAAAAAAAAAAAAATAATTCATAAAAAGCTACATGAATGAATAAAACATAAAATTTGAAATCGATTAAGAAAAGTAGACTACCTGGCTGGCTAGACTAAGAGCTAGAAATATGTACGTAACTATTTTATTACAATGTAAATATTCATGTTATTTAAATTTTCATTTATATCCAGGAATTAGGTTTTTACCTGGACAAAAGACTTACTACTTTCTTTAGAACTATATTAGCTATATCTTATTACCATTCTTATTGTTTTCTTATTTTTTTTTTATTATTCTTACAGTTGAATAAAGGAAAAAAAAAATCAAAGGTGGATAGAATTAAAATATAAGCTTTTGTAAATGTTATGTATTATTATTGTCTTCGTTATTTGAAAATGGAAATTATGTAACCTTAATTATTGTGACTATTAAATTTAAACTAACATAGAAGATGTTGGTATGGTGGAGAAGGTTTGATATAAAATATTATAGACAGAAAAGATGGTATGAAATAGTTAGATAGGAGAAAGTATTAAACGTTTATGCTGCAGTATCTTATCCACCTAAGTTGTTACGCATTCCATTGGCTGCTTCATCGGTCGATAATTCATCTTAATCTTTCATCAATCATTGAGGAGCTAATAATTTGATAAAATAAATTTCTGTTTTTTTTCTTAATGGATTTGGTCAGTTCTTGTTCGACAATTTTCCTTATTTCAGTGCTGTGAACATGTCTGGAAAGGGAATGAGATATAAATCCTGTCACGACTCCATAAAAAAAAAAATGTTTTTCCTCTTTCTTCAGTCTTACAACTGGAGAATTATGATACCTTTTATTACGGTGTTTTATATGTTTTTGCAACTTTTTTTTTTTTTTACCCTCTTGACCATTAGCTCATAGTCTTTTATATCTGCATCAAATGGACACTCAGGTGAAATTAATTGTGTAATATATTTATTATTTAAAGAATTGCTCTGAATATATTTTTTTAGAAGAATAACTGTGAGGTATTAACCAGCTGGACACGAACCAGCACCCTATAAGAAAATGTTGAAAGATTTGAGAGAAAAATCCTTCGCACGATAACTAGAGCGATCTGGGATCAGAATACTAACGTGGAAGGCCAAAAAGCACATCGATAGATAAAATCAACAAAAATGCTATAGAGCTGCGAGAATGAAATAGCCAAAGACAGGCAGAAATGGGGCAGGTTTGTTAAGGAGACAAATCATCTACATGGTCTGCAATGCCAACAGAAAAACAAACAAACTGTAAGGTAATATAAGCAAAAAATCAAAATGTTAGTTGAATCTTTCAAAATAAATGACCCGTGTGCTCATTTTTTCTCCGATTTAATTCTCACTTTCCAGGATTTTCTAAAAATTTCCTCAAACTACATTCGTAATCCTCTTCATCAGAAGCTATAACTGATTCATTATACATAAACTGTAAAGTAGAAGTTCGTAAACTCAGTGCTCAGTTGATCAATCGTAAATCCAATCGTGTTCCTTCATACATTGATTGAATCACCGATGGCTAAGAGAATACATTGGTTTTCGGGGTCGATGGATACGTTTGATGTAATCTCATTATAATCTTAGTGCTGTTATTTTTAAAATATCAATATTCGATTTACTTTCATACAGTAGGTATGAATTGAATTACTTATTAATTAAATATTACTTATATTACTTACTAATTTTTTTTTATAATCTTTGTAACCTTTTGGGAGTGTTAACCTTCCATTTAAATCAAGCAAGTTGTTTCTAATAGACAGCATGACTCAAAGTCGATCTGAGCTGGTTTAATCGATTGATGGTTTACATCAATGAAATTAGCGCTGATTTTAGAAACTTGGCCATTCATTGTTATGGTTATTAATGGAATGTAACATAATGTAATCTCTATTACATTATATATTAATAATATTTAAGTTTCTAATTTATATTTTCGATTTCATAAGGAATAAAATTATATAAAATAAGGAAAAGGCGAGATTCTAGTCTGGCTGAACAACTAAAAATTGCCCCACCATAAACCAGTTCAGTCAGTCCTAAAGATCAGGATTCCAAAATGAACTTGTAATTTGTAAAGCCCACAGAAGGAAACGAATTTATGACTCGATGAATACTCATGGCTTTGTAAATATAACTGCTGTAGCAATGGCCCCTGTGCAAAACCCGATGCTAAATACAGGCCGGCCAGGGCATCATATAGCATCCTTTCACTCCTTTAGCACTCTATTCCATGTTCTCCCGTGTAAGCATAAATCCTTGCTGGAGGAACGATTCTTATGGAAGAGGTACATATGTAACTGTTGGTGTATGGCGAAACAGCTGGGAACTGCCGGATGAGGGTAAAGGAGAAGTTTATCGCAGTTAACACGAATTCATGATGGCCAGGATTCTCAGGAAGATGGTCATTCTGATTAATGTTCTCTTCAAGGAAGTAAAGATATCATAGTTTGTCAGATATTATTTTAGGAATATGTGATAATGTGATACAGGACAGGAACCTCCAACCACCTACGAGTACTTGCGAGCATTCGTTTGCATACATGATTTCACGAGTGTACCTTTGACATAACGTGTATTCATTATCACCACTAACTGTAATAAGACCTGTTGCTTTTTCAGTAGTATTAAAATAAAGTGTTTATTTTTTTTATTAATATCTTATAAGTAATTAATCAGGAATTTATTTGCGGTTCTTTGAAAATAATCATTTAATGATATAGCACAGGGCCATAAATAATATTTTTCGAGGTGGGACAAACTTACTTCTTTCATCTCCTACTGTCCTCCAAAAAAAGTCATATTTTGATAATATCTTAAGTAATATATTTTTCTTTGATGGAAGTTTGTCGACTGTCACACAGGTTATGTTCTACATTCAAGTTCATTTAACACCTTCGGTACTGAAAACATGTCCTGATAATAATCCATAAGCTTGGGCTGATACGAAGGCGAAAAAAAAAATCTCAAAAAATTGCGTTCTGGTTATCTGTCACCCATAATATATTTTTCAATAAATATCATCTCCGTATGATAATAACTCATTTTATCAATTGATTAGAGGTCAGAAAAACAATAACAAATTAGAAACAAATAATTTTTACAACAAGCCAGTCAAAAACATACAAAAAAAAAAAGGATTGAAAATTGCACTATTTTCTTATATAACCTATATAAACCTAATATATACCTACAAAAACTTGCATTTATCTCCCCTCAGTCACGTAATTGTCATGCCATTTTAACAATATCTTCTCACTTTTCCATATTTTTGTTTAAACATTCCTTTATTGAATAATATTACATTTCGCCACAAATAAGGACATTTGTATACAGGAATCCATTCACACGATGTGTAAAATAAATAAAAATATATTAATATTTTAATTATTATTATCATTTTTTCTTTTACAGAATCTAAAATTATATGACAGTTTTAATAACATTGCTCTCAACATACCTTAGTTATATGCCTATATACGATTTTAGTGTTGTAACTATAATGTTATTAGTAGTCGTGGACCACTTTTTATCAAATTATTAACATGCATCTGAAACTTCCTAAATAGTTTCATCTCATCGTAACCTACAACAATTTTATTTACGAAAACTCTCGAAATTTGGTCATTTTCAATCTGGAGGGGGGCAAACTTTGTTTTTTTAATTAGGTAATAAAAACTCGTAAATACCCATCTGCTTTCCACTTGGATCGTAAGATAATTTGATCACAAAATCGAGAAAAAAAAGGTTGGCATTAAAAAATATTGAGTCGTTTGGCGTGACCTACACCCCCAAATTTTCAAAATAAAGAGGTTATATAGGACAAACGGCCTAATATTGTATGCCTCCTTTTTTCTCGATTTTGTCATCAAATTATCTTACGATTCAAGTAGAAAGCAGATGGTTATTTACGAGTTTTTAGTAACTAATTAAATAGACAAAATTTGCACCCCTCCAGATTGTAAACGCGCCAATTCCAAGAGTTTTCTTAAATAAAATAGTTGTAGCTTACGACGAGATGAAAGTATTTACGAAGTTTTACGCGGATGTTAAAATAAATTCGATAAAAAGGGTCCTGTACCACGGACT